AATTTTCTGAAAGTTTTATTCCCCTACTAAACAGACATACTTCTTTTTTGTATAATTTTAATTGAGTTTTTCTCCTTCCATGGTTCAACTTGCATGCCATAGATCCCTGCATATTTTACATAAACTAAGCCATTCAGTATTCCATTTTTACATCCATCAAAACTTATTTACACTGTTGAATTTATCTTAATGCTGCCAATGTTTTCAAATGTACACAATTTTCACCCATGTATTCATTAAACATTTTCCAATCTTCTTTAAATGTATATTCTTCTTGTTCTCTTATTCTGTCAGTTAAGACTGCCAGCTGCACATATTCCATCAGTTTAAGTTGCCATTCTTCTTTAGCTGGGACCTCACTCTTTTTCCATTTGGGGACTAATGAAACACAGGCCACAGTAGTGGCATACATAAATAACCTTTTTTGACACCTGGGAATTTCCATCTGAATTATCCCCAACAAAAATGACTCTCTTTTGTTTTTGTTTTTGTTTTTTTGAAAAGTACTTTTAAACATTTCCCTACTAATTCATTATAAATTATTTCCTAATACTCTTTTACCCTTTTACAAGTCCACAGCATATGATAGAACATACCCTCAACGTCACTGCATTTCCAGCACTTAACTAAACAGACTTTCATCCCCATCTCACCCCATATTGTCAGGAAACTTTAGAATTTCTTTAGCATTTCCATGAGTGCTACATGGTTTGGCCCTACCTTATCGTTGTGTTGTAGCACAGGGTAGTGGGGGCGTGTTGCATCCAACATAACACTAAGTAAGCCTGTGGCATTTGCCCTCCTAGGTTGGTCATAAGGAAAGGGTTAAATGAGAGTGAAGTGATTGGCCAGTGGGAACCCAAGGGGAGGAGTTAGAGTTAGAGTTGGAGTTGTTTGGAAGTCAGTTGGGAGTTGGAGAAGGAAGAGGGAGGATAAGTCTGTGGGTTGGTCAAGTTGTGTTGTGAGAGAGTGAGAGAAACTGATAGGAGGAGTCATATAGACAGTTGGGATAATCAGTTAGCAGTTATTAGGAAAGGTATAAACCGGTATAGAAACTAAGATTAAGAAACTGACAAGAAAAATTATCTGAAACCATAAACTTGTTAAGGATTATAAAATAAACTTGCTTATTTGATTTAATGTTAACAACTGTCTGGACTCTGTGTGTACCCAAGAGAAACGGGTTGGTGGCAGCGGGGAAGCAATCACAGTGGTGGCACAGGGATCAATAGACCGTCAAACGTCCGGGGACCCTGTGTGATCACCACAAAGCCTCTCCAGGGTTCTAAGATTTCTGCTTGTGCAACAGGCCTCCCCATTCTCCTTCTGTGCACCCCTTAAATCTTTTATTGGGGTTTTCCACAACCTCTCAGAGAAGATTAGGTGACAGCGCAGGTATGGGAGCGGGGGAGAAGAGGAGAAATGTCCCATTGTGCAAGCAAAAATCCTTGCACAGGTAGAAATAAAGGGAATGGCCTAAATGGACCAGCCTCCATTGCTTAGCTATGGTCTCACTCACTGTGGGGTAAGAAGCTTACCATAGAGAGAGTTCAATCCCATTAGCTCAGCTCTTGAAGAGGTGAGGCTCTCTGCAAATTGTAAAAGAAGGAAAGCGTACTCCTTATCCCAGCCAAACATTATCAACACACCCTCTTCCGATTTATTCATTTGTTCAGCAGATACTTGTTTGAAAGGAGGCTTGTTTCTACATTTTTGTATTCTCAAGAGCTTGCACATTTTCAAGAGATCGGCTCTTTCTCTTCCATTTCAAACCCACTACACACACACACACACACACACACACCCCTGGAATTGAGCAGCGGGCCCTGAATTTCATTTTGCTACTGTAAATGAGATTATTGATTTAATGGAGAACACTAAACCCACGGCCTTATTCCAGTAAAATATATTGCTGAAGCATTTTAGAGAAATGCTTGGGATTAGTTATCTTATTTCCTCCTCCCTCTCTTACTTCATTGTGGAAAGTGTTAGAGAAGCAGTCTGTTTAAAAAGAATGGCATATTGGATTCCCATTTAAGATATATGTATAATCCTTCAGTGTGATTATTATTTTTAAGTAAATGACACACATTAGAGCTGACAAAAGAATTGAGTGGGGGAAAACTGATACCTGTCGCCTTATAAATGAATTATTAGAATTTCTGCTTCCAGTTGTCTGAGAAATTTGATTCAGACTGCATTTAAAATGAACCTGCCTAATTGGAGCTTTCCAAAAAATACAAGGGTCAAAAAACAGCCATCCTTTAAAATTTGCCTTTCTCCGAATTTTGCAATGCAGTTCTCCAGCCAAGTAATGTGTACCAGAAATGCATCTTCTAGGGCAAAGTGTGCATCACAGTGCATATATTTGTGGAAAAAATGTGCAAAAATGCATGGAATTATGGGAAATCCCATTGGAAATTGTCATAAACGTAGGGGTTGCTCGTGCGCAAGTTGGTGCCACTCCTGGCTAGGTTGCCTTGTTAAACCTTTTCTGTCTGGACAGCCCTACACTTCGTGGCTGTTCAGTCGCTAGCAGAATCCGTCAGTGGGCGTTTCTTAAATCTTTTCCAGCATAAAAGTTGTTTGACTCCAAGTCTCCTCCTACTCTCCCTGCGCGGAAGTCTTCTGTGCAGGGAGGGCGTGGGTAGCAGAGGACCCGTGCTCTCCTCGCTGATCTCCGGTGGGGAGTCCTGGAGCCCCCTCACCAATTCCCCCATCTGCCCCCCTTTATCCCTGATGTTACGCTGATTTCCTTCCCCAGCTGGTGAGCCGCCTCTCCCCCTGCTGGGCCCTTCTCCAGCATCGCTTGAGAGCCTAGCCTCCGCCTCTGGCTCTGATGTCAGTTCCCTGACAGAAATCTTGCATATTAGGCAAAATTGCATGCAAACACTTAGATCTGAGAAATCCAAATGCGAATGAATTTTCACAGGGGCTTTTTATTAATGCAGACTGATGTGAAAAAGGTGGCGAGCTGAACTTTAGATTGGAAAAAAGAGAGAAATGGAAAGAGAGAAATCTCAGCATCCGAACATGTTATCCTTATTTATTTAAAGGCAAAGGGGTGTGATTTCGATTTGGAGAATTTTCAGGCAAAAACACTTATGCCTCTAGAGTTGCTTGCAAGGTTGTGTGTCAGTGTGTTTCTCCAACACTGTTCTGCATAAAGCACTGCTAATGTGCTACTTTGCAGGGCTGCTGCAACATTGAAACTTCTGCCATATTGAAAGCTAATGCTACTGACCAAAATGAAACTGACAGACAGCACAATGCTATATGCGTTTACTCAGAAGTTATTCTTTTTTAGTTTAATTGGCCTTGCTTGAGGTAAGTAGGTACAAGAATACTGTCTGTTTTGTACAATTCTTTTCACAATGTGTGACAACCTTCCCACCCACCTCCCACTTTGCACAATTCCTCACAATTTCCCTTTCCTCCTCCCTTATGGCCAGGAGGAAGATTTTGAAGCTGTTCACTTTTATTTCACCACAGCTTCTTAGTTCATTTAAAGCAATCTGGCTTTAGAAACCATGGTTTAAAGTTGGCTGGTTTTAAACGAACCACAGTTAATCTTAGCCACAGTTTATTGGTTAACTTAAAGCAAAAACCAGAGTTTCTAAACTCCTTCTTGTGGGAGAAGGAAAGGGGAGGGGATAAATCTAGGTTCATTCACATAATCCAAACACCACTGTATCCTTGCATCAAGTAGATACAATAATACCTTATAAATATTTTTTTGTCATTTGTAAATGTAACTTTAAAAAGTGTATGTGTGTGTGCTTGTGTGTTTTAATGTATCCATGTCTGTTTCTGCCAGAATGTGTTTCTGTGAGCATTACTAAGAGACTAAATCCTACCTTGGATCCCGAATGCCTTGGAACTCGCACGTTTTGGCTCCTGAATGCCGCAAACCCAGAAGTGATTGTCCTGGTTTGTGAATGATCTTTTGGAACCCGAATGTCCAACAGGGCTTCTGCATCTTCTGATTGGCTGCAGGAGCTTCCTGCAGCCAATAAAAACATTTTGGAAGTCGAATGGACTTCCGGAATGGATTCCCTTCGACTTCCGAGATACAACTATATTTCATTGATAGCTTTGACAGTCTTATTCCTGTATGGGGCTTTTTTGAAGGAGGGGGCAGAATTATATTGAATCCAGAATTGCTTCCCCAATTGTCATTTCAGGCTGCACACATTGTATTGTCTTTTTTTTAAAAAAAAAGTAATATATGCTGCTTTGATTTATTTTTGTAATAAAAAAAACAAGCTATAAATAATAAACTAATTGTATTCATGATGCCACACAAGTAATACATCTTCAAACAGCGTCTGCACAAAACTGATGCTTCAAGTTAGTCAATCTGTCATTATGGAGCATTTTAGGAAACCACTAAATGTAAAAAGCACCTCAAATTAACTCTCTCAATCTGTCTTCTTCCCCTAACCCATGAATATTCCTTCACTTCGCCTCTGTAAGGGAAAGAAAAGAAAGCTCGCTTCTAAATTCACTATGCGCAATAAAATGGAAATAGTTAATTGGATTGGCAACAAAGAGTGACTTCTTTTTAGCAAGCTTGTGAAATGACAAGATGTTGCTTGGACTCTAGAGATAAGGTACCCATGTGTTACTTCGAATTAACTGCTGTAGCACAATAAATTTCAGAGTTTAGATTAATTTGAAGCCCGGCGCTGACTGCTAATTAAGCAAGTGGAGGAAACTGTTTTAACTGTAAATGAAGCTGTATACATGATGGGGCTTAGGAGGTGAAAATTTGCACAAGTTGGGTGCTTTGTGGTGACAGCTGAAACTGTCACCAAGTTTCCATAGCCAGTTGGTCATGTGCAGACAACCTAATGCAGGCAGAGTCCATCGCTGTCAGGAACAACCAGGACTAGAGCTGGGATTGACATCAGTGCCCACCTCCCTCAAGCAGTTCCTATGGAGTGTCAGCTGCCACTTGCCCTGACGCCCCTGAGCAGGGTGGCCATCAATGGGGGAAGGGCCATAACTCAGTGGCAGAGTACCTGCTTTGCATGCATATGGTCATAGGTTCAATCCCCAGGTACCAGGGTTGGGGATGTTCCCTGCCTGAAACCTTAGAATGCTGGTGCCAATCAGTGCAAGTATTATTGGGTTGGATGGACCAATGGTGTGACTGATTATAAGGGAGCTTCCCATGTCTAGGGGCTGGACTGAGGAGGAATAGTGCCCTCCCTGCTCCTGAACCTCCCCAAGAACAGGAGGACAGTATAGATTTAGAACAGTGGTTTGCAGAAGGCCATAATTGAGAGGCTGCAGAGGGGGAAAGCTGGGAAATATTGGGAGAGGAACAGCAGGAGGAAGATGCACCAGGGGAGGGACAGCTGACAGATTCAGTGTCTTTGGAAAGCATTCCTGAGCCCCCCTCTCCCAGGACTAGGCGAGCATTGAGAGTAGTAGAACAGAAAGTGCAGAGGCAGAAAGCTCAGATTAACCAGCGCATGGATGACATAGAATAGGAGAGATGTAGGGGGTGGGACTTTACTCGGAGCAACGCCGTTATTTAATAGTGACTGTGCTGACCAAATTAGGCTTTATCTTTCTCTGTGAATACTGAATAAATTACGTGGTAAGAACTTTTCTTGTTTATCTGCTTTTTGGCTGCCACCAGCAAAGGGATCGGATTCCCTGAAGTCTGACGGGAATATATATGTTGGGGACCAGCAGTATCTGAGTGGTATCTGATATGCATTCAGAAGTTCCCACATTCTATTCCCAGCATTTCAAGTGTGGTTGGAAGTCTTCTCTGTCTGAAACCATGGATAGCCTCTGCCATTCAGTGTACAGTGGAACCTCGAGTTGCGGACGTAATCTGTCCTGGAGGCACATCCACAAGTCAAAGTGTTTGCATCCAGAAGCGCTGCACATGCGCATGCGCGCAGTGCAATTTAGCGCTTCTGCGCATGCGTGAGTGGAAAAACCCGGAAGTAACCATTCCGGTACTTCTGGGTTGCCGCAGGACACAACTTGAAAAGACGTAACCTGAAGCGGACGCAACATGAGGTATGACTGTAGTTAATCATGGGATAAAGTAAAGGTAAAGGGACCCCTGACCATTAGGTCCAGTCGTGGCCGACTCTGGGGTTGTGGCGCTTATCTCGCTTTACTGGCCGAGGGAGCTGGCATACAGTTTCTGGGTCATGTGGCCAGCATGACTAAGCCGCTTCTGGCGAACCAGAGCAGCACACCGAAATGCCATTTACCTTCCCGCTGGAGCGGTACCTATTTATCTACTTGCACTTTGACGTGCTTTCGAACTGCTAGGTTGGCAGGAGCAGGGACCGAGCAACGGGAGCTCACCGTGATTCAAACCGCCAACCTTCTGATCAACAAGTCCTAGGCTCTGTGGTTTAACCCACAGCGCCACCCGCGTCCCTTAATCATGGGATAGATGGACCAATAATCTAACTCAGCATACAACCGTTTCCTGATTTCCTATGGTTACCGAAAAGTAAAAGAAATCCACTATGCTATAGTGTGCCTGGCATGTCATCACTGTGAGGCTTTGAGGGAAATTCAATTGGAGGCCATTTCAAATGTCCCAAAATTACCTAGAGTTTTGGAGCATTGCATGGAAGAAGGAATGGCTGCCTTGATGGCATTTCCCAGACAAGTGAGGCTTCAGTTTGTGGCAGAAGCACCAACTTATGCCAAAGATTGGAGGACCGGCGCATAGCCTCCAACATTTCTCTGATGAGAATAGGGACACCCTAAGGAGTGGGATATTCTGGGATCCCGTCAAAATCTGAGATGGCTTCTGTAAATCTGGGACTATCCCTGGAAAATAGAGGATCTGCCGGTATTGTGCATCGTATGTGTTTGACATCACACGTGTAATGCACAATGTCGTGTCACAACACAGGAGGAGCCAGGGGCAGAGCTGGACGCAGCATCAGCGCAACTTCAATGGCCAGCAGCTCCTCCTCTCTGGTGATTGACCTCCTCTTCCTCCTCTTGCCATGGGGGGCATATGGTGGAGAATGAGATCAGCCTCTAGAAGATGGTGCCCCCAGTTTGCAGCATTTGGAGCAGAAGCAGACCAGCAGTGACACCTGAGCTGCTTGTGTGCTGATTAATTATATCTTACAGCCATCTTGTCTCACTCAGATTCCTGTTTCCTGGGCATCTGAGGCTTACCAGAATATTTACCTGATGTACAGGAAAAGAGAACATCAACTGAGATACCACTGTAAATACCAGACTGTTTGGTGTGAAAGAGGACAGCAGGCCACCCTGGATTGTATCCAACATTAGTCATACTCACATGAACTAATTTTAACCCAACAATTTTAATGGGTCTGCCTTGCTAACATGGGATATAGCCCCTGACTGTGCATGCCTGTCAATGACTGTTCAATGCCTTATGCTTTTCAACATCATTATCTTTTTCTCCGGGACGCTTGAAACATCAGAGAAATGTCATTCTGGAGCTTCCGTTGATTTTCCTCAACTATTTTACCTCAGGAGAAATCATCACATTCACCTCAAATTTGACCGGGACAACACTCATTTTCCCCAGAGCCAAAATCAAAGAGATAAACTTTGCTTTGACTAGGTTGTGCATCATAGTGTTTATAGGATCCCTGATAGTCACTTGGTGTGTACAGACTATCTATTTCCAACATTTAGGTGGTTATGTATTCAGAAGAGCACCACTCATGTCCAATTAGCACTGAATTAGCACTCAGTGGCCATAGACTGCTGACTAACTGGAGAAGGGCAAAAAAGCAAGTCTGAGAGGGAATTGAATGTCCTGGAAGACAATAATAATGATAATAATAACAATTTATTATTTATACCCCACCCATCTGTTTATTGTTTATTTCTTTGACATCTGGTGGGAGGGTGTTCCACAGGGTGGGCGCCACTACCAAGAAAGACTTCTGCCTGGTTCCCTGTAACCTCACTTCTCGCAAGGAAGGAACCGCCAGAAGGCCCTCGGAGTTGGACGTCAGTGTCCGGGCAGAACGATGGGGGTGGAGATGCTCTTTCAGGTATACTGGGCCAAGGCCATTTAGGGCTTTAAAGGTCAGCACTGAATACAGACACAGTATTGAATAGAAACACTCCATCATCTTGTTGTGAGACCCACGTTTTCTACTGATAATTAAAGAGCAGAAAATGGGCATGTCTTTGACATGCAACAGCTTAGGCTGGCATTCAACTGCATTTTACTCAGAACAGACCCATTGCAATTAATGAAAATTACTGAGCTTGGTCCATTACTTTTAAAGGGCGTTCTATGAATAACATTCAGTTTAATACCACCCTTAATGTTTCTATAAGCAAAACATGAGGGAAATCTAGTGTAAAAGACCCAATGATTTTGACACACCCTGGCTGCAAAAAACAAGGCCAGATAATTCAGAACTCCAAAAATTTGAGAAATGCAGATGAGAAAAGTTTTGGAAGCAGTCTTAACCTGGATTTCAGTTTAGCTCACAAAAAAACAGTTTGCAGGATGTTTCGAGTACAGCTCTAAAACTGTGACATATGAACAAGGCCTCTTTTACAAGCAAGTAGAAGCGACTCTCCTTTCCACTGCTGTTAGATTTCAGATTTATAGCAAAGCAAAATATACTTTCCAGTAAACCTTGACCTTAGTCTGTCTCCTGAATACAGATCACATGCTTTGTGATTTGCTCCTCGCCTTTCAAGACTAGCCTCTCTTTTTTACATCTTTTGATCAGAACCCATCACATCATTGTGACTGCAGGTGCAATTTTATCCTGCAAAGTTTCACTTCCATCCCTTGTGTCATTACATTTTTTTATTCAGTTGATGACATGCCCTTTGGAAGGTTTTCTTCTAAAGTTAATGTTTTGTTTTGTTTTTGGTATTTGCTTTACACCCAGAAATAGGCCTTCTCGTCCTTAAACCTTTTATTCTTGTCTTGGCTGCCATAGTTATGCTATAACACATTTTAATTGTTCACAGTTAAGTGTTGCAAAAAAAAAGAAAGAAAGAAGCAGCAGCATTAATTTAAGGCCTGATGTAAATAGAAGTGTTAGGGAGGAAAATGTATTAAATTAAACAGAAGAGCAGCCTCAAGCACTGAGCATCTGTACTAGGTGCGAAATACCATGTTCAATTCTTCATGGAAGTAGCCACAGTTGATGAAGGATTTTCTTGCTAGTGTTCCTGACTATACACCTCCTTCATTTTGCATTACTGTAAAGATGATGTCCCAAAACAGTCTAGTAGACAACTGGCTGAAAGCTGTCATACTTTCAGTTGTTTTGGGTTCTGCCCACCTTCCCTCAAGAAGTTGTGGACTCTCCTTCATTGGACCCTCCTTCCTTCCTTCCTTCCTTCCTTCCTTCCTTCCTTCCTTCCTTCTTTCCACCCTCCTCCCTCCCTCCTCCCCCCCTCTCTCTGTCTCTCTCTTTCTTTCTTATTACAGTCAAAACTTGGTTGTTGAACGTAATCCATTCTAGAAGCCCATTCGGCTTCTGCAATGTTCGACAACCGAGGCACGGCTTCCGATTGGTTGCAAGAGCTTCCTGCACTCAAGCGGAAACCGCGTCAGACGTACTGCCGAACGCTCACGCCAATCCTCAGTCCCTCATTACTGTCGTGTTGGCTTGGAGGTTTCTAAGCAGAGGTTGGACGCCCACCTGGCATGAATGCTTTGGTTGCCATTCCTGCATTGCAGGGGGTTGGACTAGATGGCTCTCGGGATTGCCTCCAACTCTACCATTCTAAGATTCCTTCACCGCTATTTCTGTTTCTGTTTCCCCCCCTGATGGATCCATCACACAGGTGCTCCTTTCCAAATGAAGCCTGCCTCTACTGTCCTCTACTGCCATGCCATCATTATCAAAATATATGCGGAGTGCCTTCGTGACATGGATCACTAACAGGAGCATGCCTATAAACAGTCTTCACCTCCAGTGAGAGGTGATGCATCTGGACATATTGAATTTGACATTTCTAGTGCAGAGCGGAGCTTCATCGCAGTAGCAACTGTTTCATGTCCTGAATACAAATATTCCCATCCATGCCCTCCTAGACATGGACAAACTGTTGTCATAT